ACCTAAGGACGTCGTCATAAAATGTTAAGACATAGTAGAGATGGCACTACAACGTGTGGAACAAACTTGGAAGTACTTTTTAAGTAAGTTGAGAAAGAAAATAATTTTACTTGATTGTTTTGGTAGAATTAAGCATGCCCATAGGTCGTTTGGTCGTTGTGGGAATGTTTTATGTTGGTTGTGTTTTCTTATAACGCAAAGATTGAAAATTTCAAAAGAAATGCGCAAGTTTGAATAGATTATGAGTTTCTTTGATGATTAATAAAAATTTTAATATTCAAACTGAATGGTTTTGATCGAGTATCGATTGTCACATGCTTACCCTTTCACGCCAAAATTTTGTGACCCAAATAATGGACCTATAAAATAGGTTTGAATGGATTTTCAAACAAACTTTTTGACCCTTAAAAATCATCATTGAAATGGATTTCAGATCAAATTCCAATTAACAAGAACTTCACTTGGTACAAGGTAAATAAATGATTTACTTTATAATATATATGATATTTGATATTGATTTTCTTATGTTGAAATCCCAGACAACATTCAAGGCTCCTTTGGGAACAAACCAGTTGTTGTGGATTTATTGGGTTTAGGAAAAGGCATGGCCTGGGTGAATGGTCATAGTCTTGGTAGATATTGGCCAAGTTATATAGCTAATAAGCAGCTTTGCAAAACAAAGGCTTGTGATTATTGTGGCAGATTTAGTGATAAAAATGTCTCTCCAAGTGTGGTGAACCTACGCAAAGATGGTAACCTAAGTTATATGTATATATATATATATATATTATTTTTCGAGGAGATTTTTATTTGCTTTTACTGACTATTGTGATTTTGTTGTGGTTTTAAAGGTATCACGTTCCTCGATCATTTCTTCATGATGGTGATAATACATTGGTTTTGTTTGAAGAATTTGGTGGTAATCCTTCATATGTACAATTTCAAACCGTTGAAATTGGATCGATTTGCGTTAATGCTTACGAAAGAAAATGGGTAGAATTGTCTTGTCATAATCGACCGATTTCAAAGATTGAATTTGCAAGTTTTGGTCATCCACAAGGTGTGTGTGGATCATTTGAGAAAGGTGAATGTGAATCGGATGTGGATTTAGTATCAATACTGGAAAATGTAAGTTAAAAATCTATATTTATGCAAAAAGTGGGTTAAAATTTTATATTTTTGTTTTTAATTGATAATATTTTTTCCTTTTTTAAATTTAACAGGAATGCGTAGGAAAAGAGTCATGTACATTTAAGATTTCTCAAGACAAATTCGGAAAAGCTTATTGTGAAGTTAGAAGATTAGCCGTGGAAGCCGTTTGTGAAGATTTTATACTTTAAATTTTTTAGTTTTATTTATGGAGTATTTTTTATTTTAGGAAAGGAATTTTATTCAATTTTTTTTAATTATTTTAAGAAATTATACTAGTTTATCATGTTTCCGACTGACATTAATAAAAATTATATATACAAGTATTTTTTATTCTAGTTCTTGTTGTCAAGGTAACTTCAAATTACTGTGGTCGAATATGTAATCGATGTTGTTGCATGAGTTGCATCCGTTGTTGTTCAAAGACGAATAATCAATGTGTTAACAGAGTTATGCACTGTTCTGGCATGCATTGGCTGTTCGAAAAGAAGCACCAGGCATATTATGCAGCCACATAGGAAAACCCCTATTAAATATTATTCAAGAAATGAATAAAATTATGTGTACTAAAAAAATTAATTATTCAAATAATTGATAAAAAGAAACCAAGTGAATTAATTTACCCATAATTCCACTCCGCGCATGCATAAGGTCCAATTCGAAGAATTGCATATAAGCCCTTGTCTTGAATCGTTTTAAGAAATCGAATAAGATCAAGATTTTCGCTAAAATCATATTGACGACAAATCGGTTCATGCGCATTCCAAAATACATATGTTTCAACTGCATCCAATCCACCTTCTTTGTCTTTTCTTATAAGATCAGGCCACATCTATCAAAATTCAACAAAATTAACACGAATTCAAAATTTAACTAAATATTTGAGTTGGATTTTATTATTACCTGAGCAGTACTTCTTAGATAATGAATTGAACCCAAGAGAACAATTTGATGAGTTCCATCAATGATGATTGATCTCGAATCATGAGTGACATTGTGAGCATTAACATGAAATATAATTGAAGAGAAAACAACAACTTGAAAGAAGAATTTGAAGATCTTCATATAAATGCGATTCTTTTGTAAAAAGATAATTGATTGAAATATCGATGAAGTGCACTGTTGTATTTCCGAAGGTTTTCTGCATTGGAACAACCATTGTTCCACTTCCAAACGCAATATGCTATCTCATTCCCACAGATCATCCAGGAACAAATCGATTGAAAAACATATTAACAAATTAACATATTAATCGTTGCGGTTATCGATTCGAACAATGATATCAACATATTTACCGAAATCGATAAAACTAGAACATGCATCTCATACATATCGCATCAACCAAAAATTTAACCCAAATTCAGATCGTACAAGTGGCTCTGATGCCACTGTTGGGACCGTCAGCGCACACCATGGCGCAGCGGAAACAAAACTCGACGATCTCACCAGCGATCCAAGTACGAAAAACTGAAATCGGGAGGAAGAGACGTGAATACTTATAGTGGGTTCTTTGAAAAACAGCAAGAACAACAGTGAATACTAGTGGTGTAGATCGGTTCGAATCGTAAGCCTCCATGAAATCACGTCTCGACCTCTATTCAGTTCACCTGATTGAGAGCAATTTTGTTTTCCCCAAAACCGTTTTGAGAGAAAATGACTGAAGGTTTTTGTGTGTTCTCTAAAACGGCTGCTAGATCTAACACACCCTTTTATAGCCAAGTTATCATAATCATATTAGGGTTTTTATTATTTCAAATTAATTAAATCTATATTTAATTAATTGGAATTTAATAATCCTTTTATGTCCAATCATATTAGGGATTTTATTATTTCAAATTAATTAAATATATATTTAATTAACTGAAATTAAATATTCAAGATTATTAAAACATATACTTAATTAACTCTAAATATATTTTAGTAACGTACAACAAATTGTACATCTTTGCTCATTTCAATCCTAGGGTGTGACCTTGTAGGTTCTTGTAACGCTAGCAGTAATTATTAGAACAATTCTAATATTACATACAATGAGTGACATCTAGCAATATATCATTGTCACCTAAATTACAAGAAAATATGATCCGACATATCATCTTGGTGATTAACTCTTTTATGTATTACATCCTTATGTCCTTTATATCTAGAATAGGCACAAGTCTTGGAATAGTCACACTTGTATAGCTCATCTATTGTTTCTTGATATCTAGAGTAGACTTTAATTAACGAATAGTTTATGATATCTCATATCAACTTATTCGAGCATAGCCATGCGTTTCTAGTTTTACTCAATCAAGTGGCATGTGATATATTTCCTATTATGTAGGAAGGACAAATCCTATCTTAATGATACACACCCACTACATATTTTGATATATATTCAATAACAGTCTTTATAGAGCAACCAGTTACGGAGCTTGTTTAGCTGAATCAAAACATACAACAATATATGTTGGGATAGTATTGATCTCAAGTCTGAGGATCATACATATAGTCATCACCATGAGCAATGTTATGACTGTCACATAATAATCCAAGACATATGCTCATGGTGGGTCAATCAAATACATTGTTCTCTAACAATATAATCATGCATCAGTTCTGACATCTCTATGTCAATGACAACTCGTTGTCATCAATCAATAACATGTTAGTCTTAAGCGTATTATTATTGTCCATGCCCATAATAATACTTGACTAGGGATCTTTTAATAATAACAATTATGTCATTATATGGATTTTATTATCTTCCAGATTATGTTAAACACATATATAACTGAAAATAATAGCAGCAATGTCTTTATTCAATAAAATCGGTAAATAAAAGTATTATTACAATCATCATATGATTGGTATTTGGGCATACTCTAACATGAATATAGTTACATGTGTGTAGTTAAAAATTCTAACTCGGTCCGATTGTGAAATAAAATAAATTAAACTGAATAAGGCTCAGACTACCTGCATAGAACCAAGAAGACTGATAATAATGATTTCAAGTTCAGCGATTATCCAGAAAAACAAATAACCTCAGAATCTCTAAATTTTATTTATCCTTGTTAAAAAAATTGAATATCGAAATTACCTGATTATGATATCACGAAATTTCCCCTGAAGTATAAAATGACCAAAATACCCTTGAAGTGTAAAATGAATATATTATATGACCAAGTTGAACTAAATGGAAGTATCGTAGGTTTCTGAATTGTGGAAACGAGTGAATTACTTTGGAAACTCTGAAGTGACCGGGATAACATGACTACTAAATGGCCTAAATATCCTAAAAGACTTAGAATTAAGCGAATAACTTGGATAAGTCTGGAAACGCTGATTATCTTATATGTACTGTCCATAAGGGTTTTGAATCACGAATCAAACACGTCGACATTTCTTGATATCGTTGCAATACATAAATGAAATAAATACCTTTGGAATACATGTTCGTCTCCCTAAGATCCATTCAACAATAATTCTGAAGATGATCCATTCAACAATAATTCTGAAGATGATCAGTTTGACAAGAGTTTTCAGTACTAAAGTGTGAATACCCTTGCAGTGCAACGATTTGACCGATTGACATGTATCACAGTGTTGTGATTTGTTCAGTTTGAGTTAACTCGATATCGTGATATTTAAATAAGTATAAGATAATATTTATTTAAATATATATATCTTAGTTGTTTGATATTGAATTCTCTATCTATGATATTTCTGATACTCGAATATAAAATCTTAAAAAATAATTATAATAATTTTACTATTAAGATGGCTTAATTTGTGCACATTTATATCCATATAAAAGAAAGTAGAAGGACTTGAAACGTCACTATTTCCTTTCAACCTAAACACGGCGAAGTCCTAAGCAAGGTCGAAAAAAAAAGAGAATGTTGGGGACAGCTGCTTATTCTGCCGCCACCATCCCTACCACCACCGGCGCTGCCAAAACCGTCCGCCGCTCTTTTCACCGAAATACGTTGAGTTCTGTCTCTTATTCCCCTTACCACTCCATTGCCTGCGGTCGCTTTCATTTTGTCTCGCTACGCACCTTCGCCGCTGTTTCAACCAAAGCCATGTCGCACTCTCAAGCGATCGCTTCTTCTGAACTCGACCCTCAATCCCCTGCCTCCGGTACTTCTATTTCCTGCCCTTTTTCCCTATTTTATTGTTTTCTTTAACACTCTTCACCTCTCTCTCTCTCTCTCTCTCTCTCTCTCTCTCTCTCTCTCTCTCTCTCTCTCTCTCTCTCCTCTGGAAAAGAAGAAAACAACATATGCCTTTTTGGTTTCTCTGTCAGGCAATAAGCAAGCACTAATAACTTTGTCAGACAAGAAAGACTTGACATTGCTTGGCAATGGCCTTCAAGAATTGGGGTAAATTAATAACCCCTTTTTTGCTCAGATACTTTCATGTGTTATTTCATCGTTTGTTATGGACCTTTGTTGCTTATTCTTTTTTCTTCTTTAGAAGAGAAAAAGGAGGGAAAATATAACCTTTTACATTGACTATTGAGGACTGCTAGAGGAACAAGATGTCATAAATATGGCACCATCTGCGTATTCAATTCTTTAAAACGTTTTTTTCTTAGGACTTGGTGTGGTCAATGTTATCAGTATCAGTGTAAAATGTAAAGCAACAATTTTGAAGCCTTGGTTTGAACTTGCTTCTTTGGAAACTATAGGTACACAATTGTTTCAACTGGAGGAACTGCATCTGCCTTGGAAAATGCTGGTGTATCTGTAACCAAAGTGGAGCAGCTTACTTGTTTTCCTGAAATGGTAACCTTGGTTCTGATTTTGTGCTGTTCTATCCTTCTTGATTAATATTCTATGGCCTTGTTAGCTATGTTGCTTGACTCGGGTGTAAGTGTTGGACATGGGTATGGCTAGATTTTTCTAAGTTTTTCTATGTATTTGGAGGATCCTTAGATGTCATAACCTCAAATCCAAGTGTGTCAGACACGGGTACAGGTTACTTCATGAAAAATGAAGAGTCTGTGCAATTTAGCTTGTTAGGGCATCCAGGAATATCTAAGGGGATAAAAAAGAATAACCTGAAGTGATTATGACGTCCTTACTGATAATTTAGGAAGCTTTTCTTTTTGAAACTTGACCTTGATTTTAACTATTTTAATGATAAATTTTTAATAGGAAAATGAGATACACAAGACCCAGCCTTGAAGTCAAAGCCTACTTATTATCTTCTCTCAATGATCAATCGCCATGCTTTCCTAACGATATGATGCTAATGCTATTATACCTCTCTTAAATGCTAGTTTCAGCTTTAAAGCTCATCGAGTTTGGAGATTGACTGAAGTGTATTTTACAGCTTGACGGTCGTGTGAAAACACTACATCCCAACATACACGGTGGTATTCTTGCTAGAAGAGACCAAAAACATCACATGCAAGCTCTTAATAAGCATGGCATTGGTTGGTGAAATGAAACTCCTTGATGTTTAAGCGTTCCTTTTCCAAGTGTGGTATCAGACTTTCCCTTTCCTTTTTCTTTTAGCTAAAATTGTTATTATTCAGGTACATTTGATGTGGTGGTTGTGAACTTGTACCCGTTTTATGATAAAGTTACTTCTACTGGAGGAATTGGATTTGACGAGGGCATTGAGAATATTGATATCGGTGGCCCTGCAATGATTAGAGCTGCTGCAAAGGTAACTGTTAACAAGTTGGTAGTGAATTGTTATTTGATTGGTGTATTCATTTTCCCAAGTTGTGTTTTAGCTGGAATCATTGTTATGTAGTTTCATGTTCTAGTAGATAGTCTTATATGCAAGCATGTTTATTCAGAAAGCAAAGCTAAATAGGTAATTGAACTACATTGGTTATGAAGGGTGTTTCAACTTCTTGATTTTGGACGCTATAAAATTAGGTTATGAAGGGTGTTTCAACTTCCTGAATCAGTATTAGCTTCCTAGTTAAGTGCAATGCTAAAAGCAGAGGAATTTATCATTCCTTAACATACAAGTTGAATAGGCCATTCTTTGTTTTAATCATTTTCTATTACAAAATAACACATTTACTTGAACAGAATTATAAGGATGTCTTGGTTGTTGTTGACTCACAAGACTATCCTGCACTCCTCGAGTTCCTTAAAGGCGGTCAGGATGATCAACAATTCCGTAGAAAGCTTGCCTGGAAAGCTTTTGAACATGTTGCTTCTTATGATTCTGCAGTTTCAGAGTGGCTCTGGATACAGACCGCGGGAGGTATTCTTCTATGCTTTAGCTACTTGGTCATTGTAGTTGAAATGGTAGTCATTTAATGATATTTAGAAGAAAATAGATCTACTTTACATGTCATAAGCTTAGATCTCAGCAATCAAAATATACTATTGCATAAAAAGAAACTATTTTTTTGTTCTTTGTTAAAAGAATCAATGCAACAACTCATTGAACTTTTTCATTAAGTGCTACCTATAATTGTTACAAATTTAGATTGACATAATTCTTTATCTGTTGGAAGATAAATTCCCTCCCAACTTGACGGTGCCGTTATCCCTGAAAAGTTCACTTCGTTATGGTGAAAATCCACATCAGAAGGCTGCATTTTATGTTGACAAGAGTCTGTCTGAGGTCAATGCTGGTGGTATTGCAACAGCTGTTCAACACCATGGGAAGGTGATTTAGTTCTTAATGTTATTTTTTTTCATGCTTATTAATAAGTTAAAACAATAGACAATTATGGAATCATCTTCCCTTTTTTTTCTTTTCCAAGAAAGTATTTGCTTCTACCATTTTTTTATTTGGATGCTTTGCCGGTAAACTCAGTTACAGGATATAAGATTTTGTCAGTCGGGCCATACTTTTTCCTTTCCAATTGGTTCCAATTGCCGATAGAATTTTTATTGTTGCCTATGTTGAAGAGTGTCTTGTTATGTTGCTGTTCCTTTTCACTATGGTGGTTGAGGACATGAAATCCTTTGCAAATTGTTGAATGTTATGATTGTGTTTTCCAATTTAGTTATCAGCTGTATTATTCCATGGTATATCCTTAATACACTTTTTTATCTTGCTGCAGGAAATGTCGTATAATAACTATCTAGATGCCGATGCCGCATGGAATTGTGTCTCAGAGTTTAGGAACCCTACATGCGTGATTGTAAAGCACACAAATCCATGTGGAGTAGCTTCTCGTGTTGACATCCTTGAGGCTTATAGGCTTGCTGTGAAAGCTGATCCCGTGAGTGCATTTGGAGGAATTGTAGCCTTCAACATAGAAGTAGACGAGGCAAGTTAATAAGTTTTTTGGAATCCTTACATGCGATTGTGCCGTCTTTGTATCACACATTGAATATCATCTTATCATATGGTATCTTCAAAATCGTGATAGAGTACCCTTTTTGACAATTTGATTGCTCACTTTTTTGGCTTTAGGCTCTTGCTAAGGAAATCCGAGAGTTCCGAAGCCCAATGGATGGTGAAACTCGGATGTTTTATGAGATCGTTGTGGCTCCCAAGTATACAGAGAAGGGACTTGAGATACTCCGTGGAAAGTCAAAAACACTGAGGATACTTGAAGCAAAGAAGAATGAGAAAGGGAAGCTCTCACTACGACAGGTTGGTGGTGGTTGGCTGGCCCAGGATTCAGATGACTTTACGCCTGAAGACATCCAGTTCAAAGTGGTTTCTGAGAATAAGCCACAAGATGGTGAGCTTCGTGATGCAGAATTTGCATGGCTGTGTGTAAAGCATGTCAAGAGCAACGCTATTGTAATAGCAAAGGTTTGTTATTTTGCTAGGATATTAAATTCTGGTTAAAATGGTGCTTGATAACCTTGTTGGCTTGTAGATCCTTGTGATAAATATCCCAAAAAGAGTAGTATTGCAAGATTTTCTGACCCTTGGACATTATTACTCAGGACAACTGTATGTTGGGTATGGGAAGTGGGCAGCCAAACCGTCGGGAGAGTTTGAGAATAGCTTTGAGGAAAGCAGGAGATGAGGTCAAGGGAGCTGCTTTGGCTAGTGATGCGTTCTTCCCATTTGGTAATTACCACCTTCAAAAGTTTAGTGAATAATTAAAATGTTCTCCCGTAAATATAAAATTGTTCAGGCATGCAATGTTGCAGTGATTGCTTGGCCTATATAACCTGTTTGCTAACAAATATGTTTTCTTTTCTATTAATAGCTTGGAAAGATGCAGTGGAAGAAGCTTGTGAAAGCGGGATTGGAGTCATTGCGGAGCCTGGTGGGAGCATTAGAGATGGGGATGCCGTCGACTGTTGTAACAAGTATGGTGTTTCATTGCTTTTCACAAATGTAAGGCATTTTAGGCATTGATACTTGCATTTTTGCCAACATGGATTCAACCTGTGCTCCAAGGGGGAGGATGCAAGTGTTATGCAACTCATTTGGCTGTAATCTTCACAACTAAGAAACGTTTTGTTTGTGTTATTTAGAGGTTGAACCCTACAGTTTTGTACCGGACGTTTATCGTTCCTCTTGGTTTACCAAAATAATAGAATAAGAGGTCTGAATTTTGATTGATTATTTGTATGTACTCTAATTCTTAAGCTGATCATAAATATCTGATGGGAAGACATGAAAGGGAGCATTATAAAGTGGAGAAGACAAAATCCTGTTCATGGACTTGACAGAAAGTTGGGCACTTTATATTGGTCCTTTAACAAGGCCTGCAATTTCTCAAACGAGAAACCAAAGGAACGTTCAATTGCAATGAGAGTAGTCGTATTATGGTTGACCTCAAATACATACGTACACTCTAAAGGCAACGATCTTTAATATAGTCCTTGGATTTATTAAATATATCAATTAAAGTAAGCATTTTTATAATTAGAGTTTTAAATTTTTCAAAACTAATAAAAATAAATTTGTTCATGAGTTCGAGTTGGTTGAATAGTGATAAATTCAAGCTAGATTTTAAATATTAGACTATTTTAATCAAACATGAATGATTATTAATTTTAAATTTAAACTCGACCTAAATATACAATATTTTTTTTTGTTATGTTGACTTTTCAATCTTAATATTTGTATTTTTCATAAATTACTAATCAATCTTGAAGTCTGTAGTAACTCGACTCTTGAAAAGGTATAATGGTGATAATAAAATAGGGTTCCCCACTTCCCAAATGATGATAATATTGGAAGGTTGAATAGGGTTCCATTAAATTGAATGTTGGCCTATGTTTTGCTTTTGATCCCATTTATATAAAAGTTGTGCATGATTGTTGTCTTTAGGTCATTTAGTGGAAGTTTGATCATGTTTCCAACAAAGAAATCAATTCAGTTTGGGAACTCCAAATCTTCTAAAAGTAGCAAAAAGCTTCTCCATTCTTATACGTACATTGGATACTAAATGGCCACACCTCATGCTTTCAAGATCTCTCTTCCCACCATAATATAATATAATTTAAACCCAACAAATCTAAAACGTTTCTAAATATATACAACATGATTACTTTAGGGTAAACTACACATTTAGTATCTAAACGATCAGTTTTGATCCGTTTTAGTACCTTAACTTTCAATTTCTCAAAATCATACCTAAAGTTTAGTTTTTAATTCATTTTAGTACCCAGCCGGTAAGTTTTGAAAAAAATGAAAGTCTAGGTACCAAAACACGTTTAGTACCTAAATCATACTTAAGTTTTGAAATTTGTTTAAAAATTAGGTACTAAAACGGATACAAATTGATAGTTTAGGTATTAAGTGCGTTAAGTGTTTAACTACGAGTATTAAAATGAAACAAAAAGTAAACTTTAGGTATAGTTTTGAAGAAATTGAAAGTTTAAGTACTAAAACAGACTAAATTGATAGTTTAGGTACTAAATACGTAATTTACCCTCATGCATAATAAAACACATCAATACTATTGGAAACTAATTGGCTACACCTCATGTTTTCAATATCTCCCCTCCCACCATAATATAATATAATTTAGAGAAAATAACCTCAGTGACCAAAAATCCCATATAATATACGATTTTAACCAACTTTTTCCGGATTTGCCAAAATGACCAACAAAATCGCAATGCGATCGCTAATTCGCAACGCGATCTCCATTATCGCAAATTCGCGTTGCATTTTCGCAATGCGATAGTTGAAAATCGCGTTGCGATGGTCTACAGTATCGTTGCGATTTTCCCAATTCGCAATGCGAATAAGTAAATCGCAACGCAAATTGGGAAAATCGCAATGCGATAATAAAAAATCGCAACGAGATACTTACTTTCGCAACGCGATACTGACTTTCGCAACGCGATTTACATAGCGCCATTCGTATTAACGCGTATTTTTTTTTTCAAATTCCAAACACGTATTTTTTCTTAATAAATCGGAAAATGAACCGTCCACAATAATCGCAACTCATAACCTCAAACCCAAAAACACAACACTCAGTCCCATCTCCATCTCTCACTCTCTACGGCGAAATCCGTCCCCATCTCCGAAGATTTCCGTCCCCATCGCCGGCGAAATCCCTCACAACCATTCACAGTCAAAAATCCCTCACAATCATTCAGAAATGGAAAATCAACCTCCGAGGGTTAGTTTTTTTTATTTTTATTTTGAAATTTTTGCATTATTTTAGGTTTTTCATATTGAGATTGATGATAAGTTTACTGGTAATTTCAATAATAGATTAACCATTTCACTTAGATTTCTTATTAAATTCATTCGATTGCTGCCAATACTGCTAAACTGTTTAGCCTGTGAAGTTAGTATTTGTCTTTGCTTTGTCTTTTGGTTGAAGTAATGCAGAAGAAGAATAGTTTCGAGAATGAAAATCGCAACGCGGAAATAACTATCGCAACGCGAAATAAAAATCGCAACGCGAAACCAAAATCGCATTGCGATTTTCTTTTCGCGTTGCGATTTTCATTTCGCGTTGCGATTTTTATTTCGCGGTTGCGATTTTCATTTCGCGTTGCGATTGTCTGGTCGCGATAGTCATTTCGCGTTGCGATTCTCTCGTTGCGATAGTCATTTCCGCGTTGCGATTCTCATTATCTCGTTGCGATTTTCATTTCAACCAAAAGACAAAAACAGTGTTGCAAATTTTAGTTTCAAGAATAAACTACTATTTATGTTTATTGTTTTGTTTTTGGTATATCTTGACAGTGTAATTTTTGGTATATCTAACTTGGTATGTTTATTGTTTTTTTGTAGAAATTTTTTTCGGCTTCATTGACATTAAGGAATAAAGTTAGCCTAGCCACTACAATTGCTTCGAAGCTTTCACCTGCACAAAGAAAATTGTTTGAAGAAACCTGCTTCGGGCCATGGCTGAGAGTACAGCATCCGGGTGGAGATGCTAGTTTGACCCATTTGTGGCTTCAGACCATGACTAGCGATCTACCCGACAGTATACAACGTGGTGAGGAAGAGATATGGTTTCATTTTCCACCGGCGTATACTTGTTTTGGGCGGAAGGAGTTCTGCTTAATCACTGGTCTACGATTCGGACACGATGATGTAGGCCGGTACACTCGTCATATCAGCCGCCCATCATGGTTATCCAGGGTTTTTCCTGATGAGTCAATAGAGAAGCCGAACTTACACGTCGACGACATGAAGAAATTGTTTAATAAGAAAGATGGTTTTACTCGGATGAATGACGTCGATGTTGTCCGAGTATGCCTTCTACTACTTTTGTATGCCGGCTTTCTAGGCAGAGAGGCCAGACAACCTATTCCTCAGGAGCTAATATTATTGGTAGAGGACCTAAATGCATGGAATCTGTTTCCGTGGGGTTCGTATATATGGAAAGCTACCTGGACTAAGTTGTCGTCTGCCTTTGATGACCGCAAAAGTTTGCGGGGCGATGGGTCGAAATACACTTTGTCAGGCTTTGTTTGGGCCTTTAAGGTAAGAATTTCTATATAATGTTTTCAAAATTATAATTAATTATTTAACAATTACTAATGTTTGTTATTATATTGTTTGTAGATTTGGATATTCGAGGCTTTCCCCAGCATGCGGACATATGCATTAAAATCCTCATATGATATTCCTAGGGCTATTTCCTGGAAGAGGAAACGTATGTTGGATTGGGAAGACTTAATACCATATGCGACAATAAATAATGTAAGTTAACACAAATACTATCATATATAAACAAGTTATTAATAGTAGACGTTTAACTTTGTTTTAGTTTTTATATTTTTAGGAGGCCAACACTCCATTAATGAGACTGACACCCACGGAGGCTGAGCTTGCCACTGATTGGTGGCAAGCTAGTCAGCGTTTTTTTGATGGCACGAATGATGAGCAGCCTCCACTTCCTCCACTTCGAGAGCCATCACCTCACCCAGAGCCATCACCTGATCGACCCGACTATACACCTCTACAACGAGAGCCATCACCTATCCCGTCACATCATCGAGTCTCTTCTCCACCATCACCTCATGATAGGCGACCGACAAAGATGCCACGACTTCTATCTCCCTGTTCTCCACCTCCACGGGATGAGTCAAGGGAGTTACGTGATGAGGTCAATGCCTTGCGTGAGGAGATCGGTACTCTACGCGATAACGATGGTGCATGGCGTGTGGAGGTGTCTACTTTACGTGGTGAGGTTGCCGCTCTACGTGAGATGGTAGTATCGTTGCAGAATGAGGTTCATACTCTACGCAACGAGGTAAGTTTAAGATTTTCCATATTTAACTTGATGATAAATTTACTCGTAATTTCACTTAAATTAACCATTTCACTTAGATTGCTTAGTAAATTTATTCGGTTGCTGCCAAAACTGCTAAACTTACATTATTTATTGTCGTATACCGTAGTAAATCTTCCCATTGCAAGGTTCGTTTCCTCTTCCAGGAAATAGCCCTGGGAATATTATTTGAAGTTTTTATTGCATATGTCTTCATGGCGGGAAAGGCCTCAAATATCCAAATCTACAAACAATATAATAACAAACATTAGTAATTGTTAAATAATTACTTATAATTTTGGAAACATTATATAAAAATTCTTACCTTAAAGGCCCAAATAAAGCCTGTCAAAGTGTATTTGGAACCATCGCCATGCAAACTTTTTCGATCATCCAAGGCAGACGATAACTTATTCCATGTAGCTTTCCATAAATACGAGCCCCACGGAAACAGGTTCCACGCATTTAGGTCTTCTACCAATTTGATTAGATCATTTGGAATAGGTTGTCTGGCCTCTCTGCCTAAAAAGCCGGCATGCAAAAGAATTAGAAGGCATACTCGGACAACGTCGACGTCATCCATCCGAGTAAAACCATCTTTATTATTCAAAAATCTTGTCAGGTCTTCTACGTGTAGACTCAGCCTCTCCAGCTTAGGAAAAACCCGGGATAGCCATGATGGGCGGGTAATGTGTTTAGTGTACCGACCTACATCATCGTGTCCGAAGCGTAGACCGGTGATTAAGCAAAACTCCTCCCGCCCAAAACACGTATACGCCGGTGGAAAATCAAACCATATCTCTTCATCACGACGTTGTATAGTCTCTGGTAGATCTCTAGTCATGGTTTGAAGAAACAGGTGTGTCAACAT